CCCCCCAGCTACAACTGGTGCTGACAACAGCCATGCCTTCCCCTGCACTTCCCGGGCCATCTCATCCCACAGAAGCCTCTTGGCAGTCCCTTAGGTAGTCCCTAACTGAAGGAGGTGCTAAGGTCAACTCCCTTTACAGAAGGGGAAACAGAGGCACAAGAAGTTGAGTCATCACCCAAGTAACAAGGGTGCTGGGGGTGGGACTGGGATTCCAGCTCAGGAGTGGCCCAGGCAGCTCACAGAGAAGATGCTGGACCAAGGTGTCGACAGCCCAGAGCAGAGTGGGGTTGTGGGGGTACGCCCCACCCTGCCAGTGTCAGGGAGAAAGCACTCGGTCTCCCTCCTCACAGAACCAAGGCCCCAGTCAACATGTAGGCAGTGCTTCTAGGAAGACCTGGTTGGGGTGGGTTGGGTGAGGGGTGCTCATCTCCCCCCGCCCAGCTCGGTGGTCACCAGGCTGCACCGTGTTTGCCACTTTCATTTTTAAAGGAACACTTTCTTGTGCTTTAGGTGAAAGGAGGCTAAGCCAATCCGGGCCGCCCTGACTTTTTTTATACAGATTGCTCTGTGCCAGGTTCCGATCCTGGCGAGTCTTACTGGAAGGCATGCATTATTAACAGGGCAGGGAGGGGCCGGTGGGGGCCTCCATTACTGCGTGGTGATTTAGTGGACTGTCCCTAGAACATTACAGCTCAGAAAGTTGGAAACCGAAATGAGGAGGCAGTGGGCAGGCCCCGCCCTTCCTGATGGAGCCCTGGAGAGGCCAGGGGTCCGTTTTGGGAGTTTATAGGCTTCTGAAGAATGTGCTGGAGTAGCAGGAAAGCCTTGAGGCTAAGTGGCCTTTTGAAGTGTGTGTGTGTGTGGGGGGGGTTTGCGGGGAGGAGGCTAACCCAGCCAGACAAGGAAGGGAGGCTGACTTGACTTGAAGCTACAGCAGGACCCTGCACAACACAACACAACATGACACAAACAACACAACGGGTGTCATCCCAGGAGGTTCTCAGGACAACTCTCATTGGGCAAGTGGGGAAACTGAGGCTCGCCGCTCCAGCTGTTACGTCTGGGGGCAGTTACACACAGCACACACAGCAAGTGCTCACTGGCTGTGGGGTGGGGTGGGTGGTGGGTGAGGGGGGTGGGGGGCCATGTTGGAACCTCCTCAGCCCCTCCCTTTTCTCAATACTTGCAGCACAATGCCCGTCCCAACCGCCCCCCCCACCGATGACTGATGATGATGTTCCAGGCACCTCCTCTGAGCCTGGATCAGCTCATCTAATGCCCACAGTGACGCAGCACTAAGAACGGTTAGCACTAAGGGCCGTGCCAGGACTGGTCCCCTGGGCAGTCTGGCTGCAGAGCAGGCTGGTCGGAGGACCCTTTCCTCCGGGCGGCAATAGAAGGCGGGTGAGTGCCGGGCTGGGCCCCGGCCCATCGGCCATGAAGGTAGAGGCTGCCACTCCACTCAGGCTTCTAGAATGTGAAGTGGGAGGGGTTTGGATTGGCCTCCTGCTCTGCTGGGGGTGCTGAGAGGGGAGGGGGGCACGTGGCGTGTGATGGGTGAACTCTGAGGCCCTCCAGCCCTCATTGAGGCTGACCAGCCCTGCCTGCAACAGAGCAGGGGTGGGGGTGGGGGCGGCGGGTCTGGTCCCTTCAGGTCCCACTTGGCATGGGGTCACCTCAGTGAGTCCCACTGCCCCCACTCCTTGGGCCTGACCCTTTTGTCTGTCCTTCCTGCCTTCACAGCACCCACCCACCTGCCTGCTGGAGGAGACAATTCCAGGGATCCCAGCTGCTCTGACTTCCTGCAACCCCCACCCCACACACCCCCACTCCAGTTTCCTGGTCCTTGGCCCCATCCCTTCCTGCCAGAGCAGACAGGATCTTGGTCTGGGGGCCAGGCCTCCTCTGCACCCCTGCCTTCCCTTCCACCTCCAGCCTGGGGCTTCAACCCTGAACTGGAGGCTCTTCCTTTATGGGAAGTTTCTCTGCCCCAGCTGTGAATCCTCTCCTCATAGGGACCCCCACCTGGATGGCGCCCTGGGGCCTACCTGGACTGCAGGTGCTCCAGCTGCACCTGCAAGTTCTCGCTGTGCTCTGTCTGCTCGTCCAGCGATCGCTGCAGCTTACGGGCCTGGTTGTGGGCCTCGTCCAGCTGGGGGCGAGGGGGGCCAAAAGCACAGGGTCATATTGGGCCCGGCAGTTGGCCTGCCATCCATCCGGGACCAGACAGTCCAATTGGTTCCGGGGGTGGGGTGGGTGGGGGGAAGGTGTCCTTCCCCACGAGCAATCCCCGTCCTTCCTTCAAGGCCTGGCCCAAAGCCTGTTGCCTTCAGGGAGATGCCCCTTTCCCTGCTGTCCCTGAAGCGCCCCATTGCTTCCCTGCCAGGGCCCTCACGTGCCCGGCCACTCCACTCATCACCCACCTATTGTCATAACTGCATCCCTCTGACCCTCTGTCCACAGAGAGACTCACCTGCCCATGAGGATGGATTCCTACCTGTCCATTTGCCATTCATCGCCCATCCACCTGCCTATCCTGAGTCCGTCCACTCTGCAAGTCCCCCTCCCCAGCTCCTCCCTGATTTGCCCTCCCACCACCTGCTCAGTCGTTCTTCTGCCCGTTGGTCCCCCGGCTGCCATTTCCCACTCACTCACCCAGCCATTCGTCTCTGTGTGCACCCATCAGCCTGTCCAGCCATCCAGTCACATCCACTCTCTCTCCTTCTCCCTCCCCAACCATTTGCCCACTGACTCCTCTGTCCGTCTGTCCATCCGTCCGCGGGCCATCCTCCCAAGCTTCCCGCCAACCGTCCACACACCCACCTATCCACCCATCAGCGTCCTCACCCGCTCAGCCACCCTGGATGTCCCTTTCTTCCTCCACTCCCCTCCCCGCTGCTCCACCATCCACCCACCCGCCCATCCACCCACGAGGCAGGCTCATGCCGGCCAGGCATTGAGGGCCCCGGGGGAGCGCTGCAGGCCCCGGTCCTTGTCTCTCAGGGGAGGTCTGGAGGCCGGCCTTTGGACCCCACAGGGACTCACCTCATCTTCCGCCTGGGCCAACTCCTTCTTGAGCTCTTCCACCCTCAGCCGTAGCTTCTTCACCTCTGTCTCATGCTGCTCCACCCGCCGGTTGGCGTGGGCCAGCTCTGCCACCTTCTCCTGGAACTGCTTCTTCAGCTTGCTGTGCACGTGTTTCAGGTCTGCCAGCTCCTGCAGGGGGACAGGCAGTGGGGTAAGACATCCCGCAGCGTCAGGTTGTCCCCATCCCTCAATCTCTCCACCCACTGTGGGATCGGAGGTAGGATAGCTCAATGCCCCTAGGTTATGGCGTCAAAGGCCCCAGGGCTCCTGGGAGCAGGGGTCCTCCAGGAAGCTGGTCCTGCTTGTTGCAAGTTCAAGATGACCACCTTAACCTGCTCTAAGTCTTCACATGAACTTGCTCAGCACTGACCAAGGGGGCTCTTGGCTGAGGTGGAGAGAGGCAGGCTCACGGCGGTCCTTTCCAGTCACCAAGGGGCTGGGCCCGGGGCCTATCTTAATGGGCCTGGCCACATTTTGCCTGAGGCCTCTGTCAGCCCTGTTGGCCCCTAGCCTTTCTGGGCCTTTGTTACTGAGTCCCCATGGCCAGTTATGTCTTTTTGCTCAACTCTGTCAACCTCAACCCCCGTATGGAGTGATTCTCTCCGGCCTCTGAAGCCCCGGGGGAAGGAGAAGCTTAGTGGGGCTGAGGGGCAGGCTGAGGGGCGGGCTGGTTCAATCGGCACAGGCTCTCCCAGCCCCAACAGTGTGCCCCCACTGCAGGGAGTCCTGGAACAGCATGGCCAGAGGGCACAACACACAGTGGGCACTCCATAAATGTAGCTATGATCCTTAACACTGGCCCAGCATAGAGGAGGCCTCACTTGATCAAGCGGTGTGATGCCCGGGACTGCCCATCACCGGGTCGGAAGTTCAAACCCATGAGCTGTTCCGAGGGAGAAAGAGGAGGCTGTGTGCACCCATCCAGATTTAGGCTCAGACTCCCAGGGGGGCAGTTCTACTTCGCCCTCAGCCTGGACGTGATGGCCTTGGGAGTTCTTGTGGTGTAGCGCGGGAGCTTGGTAGTGAGTTAACTTGGGCCACTAACCACAGGTCAGTGGTTCAAAAATGCCAGCCGCTCCCTAGGAGAAAGCTGAGGTGTCTGCTCCCGTCCCGAGTTAGTTTCAGACACCCACAAGGACACTCTACCCTGCCCTCTAGGGTCGTCAGGAGTAAGCGGGGACTTGATGACCATAGGGGGTGGAGGGTGGGGGCTGGGTGTCTTGGTTTGGTCAGTATTGCCCCGTGGGCACCCAGTGGTGTCCCAGAGGAGCAGCTTCTGGACCGACCACGGGGGGGCGGCGCGCGTGGCTGTCCCAGCCCCTCTGCAAGCCACCATCACTGCCCCACCTTGTTCTTCTCGAAGAGCGCGGCCTGGCTGGCCCTCAGGTCACAGTCCAGCGCACTGGTGGTCTGCCGCCGCCGCCGGGCCAGGGCCTCCTCCAGATCCCCCACCTGCGCGCGCAACTTCTTGTTCTCCCGCTCCAGGCCCAGCTTCTCCGTCTCCAGCCTCTCCCGGCGGCCCCACTCAGCTGCGTTCTCTGCCTGCAGCCGCTCCATCTTAAAGGAGGGGCAGGAGGGCAGGGTGAGGACTCCAGGGGGGTCGGGAGTGGGGTGTGGGTGGGGATGGGGACATGGAAGAGC